AAGTAGAAGATGATGGAGGGGAGTGCTATATTTACACTAGTTTTATAGACAACTGTCCCATTTCATCCCAATTTGAACCCTGACCCAAAAAGTGAGGGGTGAGAGGTCCAAGGGAGAGACATTTTGTGTCTATAGGCCCGGATAGCTTCCTTCCCCCAACTACAATATGTCCAATTTCAAGTCCACAGAATGGGGAGGAAGGATAGGGTAGGATCGAAAGCCACTCATTTCCATTCCAAACAAGTCTCCTTTGGGGATTCCTGCCCTGAAATAAGGTCAGTATCCAAGCTCCAGGGGAACAGACTGAGGACGCTGAGGCTTAGTTCCCAAGTTATGTTGTCATTTCCAAGTTCCAGCCTAGAAACGTCAGGGCTCTCCAGATTTGGGAAGCCCCCCTAATCGCCGGGCCTCGGGCCGCAGTTCCTTGCATTTCTGACAATAAAAGAAGTCAGGGACATTGGTCTTCTTAATCTTAGCACAGGAGAGGTGAATCCATGTCCCACACAGGCTGCACTCAATCATGGGCCGCCCTGCAAAGGGCTTTCGGCAGTAACACGTGATCAGATCCCACGAGTCATCACCTGGGGAAAAGAAGGTTCATTTGATGTTTTGCCTGAGCTCTTGGATCTATCACCAACGCCCTCCACCCTAATCCCACCATCCCCATTGTTCAGAGAGCAGCCCCAAACCCCTCACCTGATTCTACCATGATGTCCTCATCCATGACCCGCATTTCACCTTCACTGGAGCTGGCATCTCCATCTTGGCTTGTTTCAGTGCTGCCCACCTCCTTGCCTTCACTGTCAGTGGGAGGGGCTCCTTCAGGGTGCACTGAGGCAGGAGGCCTAGGGGCCTCAGGGGGTGTTGGGAGTACAGGGGTTGGGGTTTCACCCCCTACCACTGCTGTCATCTCTTCCTCTTCCTCCTCCTCTTCCTCCTCCTCCTCCTCCTCTTCAGAGTCTGTATCACTGGGGGGTGCCCTGGGAGGGCCAGGAGGTGGGAGTCTATCCCCCCGCTCAGCCTTTTTCAACTTCCGCTTCTTGCTCTTCTTAATTCGAGACCTCTTTTCCCCATCCCCAGGACTTGGCCGAGGCCGCCGAAGCACCCCAAAGCCAGCCCCACCTCCTGGCCCCAATTTTCGGTTCTTTCGGTCCTTCTTTCGAGGCTGCGAGAGATCTCCCTGGGAAAGAGGCACTGGGGTGAGAGCAGCAGGGGACCGGGAGGTATGTGTCAGGGAGGTGGGGGACAGTGGAGATGCCACTTTGGGCCCATCCAAATCAAAGAGAGAGTCCTTGAGCTTCATTTTCTCAAGCAGGGTGGCACTGTCAGGAGCCTGCAGACGTGAGAAGGTGGACCTTGGGGGTCCAGGCTGAGTGGGACCTGCTTGAGCCGCCCTTCTCTTAGATGACTTTGCTTTCTTAACAAAGGTCTGGATGGTTCGAAGATCAGAGGGGGCTGAGTCCCAGCCATCACTGTCTGCAGCACTCTCACCACGCAATGGAGAGCTGGAGCCAGAGGCTGGCCAATCACTTTCCTTAAAAACAAGGGAGAGCAGGGTCAGCAGGTACCTAGTATCTCATCAGCTGCTTCACAAACCTAGCCTGACAACCAGAGACACCAACCACCAAGTCTCACTGTACTGAAAATTTATTCTTATCCCAATTCCTATCAGCATCTCCTACTGATCACTTTCATGTTACCTCTGCCCTCAAGTTCTCAGCATCTCCCCATACCTGCCCAGGGTCTATGGAACACTGTACCCCCACAGACCAAAGCAACATTTCTTGAACTGTTTCTGTACAGCCTCATTTGTTACCATTTTCAGCTCCCTAAAAGCATCCAGAAACACTTCCATTCCAGTAACCCAATACCATTCCAAAATCTTGACCAATGCCTCCAGATCCCCTCTATCACTGCTGCTCAAGCTAGTTTTCTCTATTATCCCCCCTCCCACACACCAGCTTTCCTATCACAGCCCTGAACTTCAAATTTACCCAGATTTATATATCATTTCAGGTAGGTTCCTCCTATAAAATAACACAATCCCACCTCAAGGTAGCTGTTCTCCTGTCCCTACCTCTTTGCTGGGGGGAATGTAACCAGCATAGGCCAAAACAAAACTGCAGAATTTGTTGAAATCCTCAATTGTTCTCCGACGTTTCTCTGGTGGCTGAAAGGAAGGAAACAAGGATCATATGGAAGCCAGACTGGAGGAGCATTCCCAAAGGCACAATCCCTAAAGTGAGAAATCTAGAAAAAGAGGAAGGGTACTGTTGGTAGGCGGTGATACCAGCCTGTAAAGATAAGGGACATCTCACCTGAGTCTCTGGTTTAAGTGTCGGAGGTGGATCTGTGGAAGTAATAAAAGCTGAGTCAAGGCACTAGGAAACAGTCTGTGTAAAACAGTCTCCACCTCTAACGCATGGAGGTCCCAAGTGAACCCCCTCCTCTCCTCTAGGTCCCTAGCCAGACCAGCAGGCCCCCAGCTGTGTTGGACCCGCCCCTGCTCCCCCTTCCGCCCCAAGAGGGGCGGAGTCTGGGCGCGGCGCCCTCTCGGCCTCGCTATAGCGCTCCCCTCCCCCCAACCGGAGGCCCGGCGCCCCGCCCCCCCACTCACGGCTTCTTCAGTCTACTCGGATCTCAGCGCCCCACCCCGCCACACCGCTCCCGGGGCCAAGCCCCGGCCACCGCCCGCCCCCGTCCTTCACAAGCGCTCAGAGCCCGGAGTTCCTACATCGCCGCGCTCCACCGCCCCGGGCCCTCCAAGACCGCACACACTGCCCGCCGGCACCCAGAGTCCAGGATGACCACGCTGAACCGCTCTCCGCCCTCCGGCCCCTTCTCGAGCACGAGGCCGGGCGCGCCCCTCACCCTCACCCCAAACATACGCGGGCACACACATCCAACGCTACTTCGTGTCTGGGACAGACCGGAGAGCTCTAACCCGGACGCGGCCCCACCTGCCCCCCCACACGCACAAGGCTCCCCACAATTTTCGCCGTCCCTCCGCCCCCATCCGGGGCTTTGGCCCCTCCCCGTCTCGAGCTCCTCTGGCTCCCCGCCGGGCCCCCGGGCCCTGTTCCGAGCTTCGCCGGCCGCCGCCCCCCCTCCGCCCCCGTACTCACCAAGTCACTAGGCTACAGATCCCTAAACTCCAGCCCCCCGAACCAGCTACTCTTTCCACGGAAGCTCCCCTCACCCTTCGCAACTCCCAGGCTCTAACCCTCGCCGACCAACCTCCCCCCGCGAGGCGCCGGTCTTAACCCCCAACCCTGCCCCACCGCCTCCTACAACTACCCAGTTCGCCTCGCTCTCCGGCTCTCTCGCCCCACAACTAGCCCCCGGCACAAGTCTCTCTACCACAGACAATACCCAGACCCCACTTCTCCCCACAACTACCTGCCCACTCCTCTAACAATCACAGGGCTATCTCTGGAGGCAACTACGAGGAGCTCCAGCACCACCGCCACAAACTCCCCCACCTCGACCAATTACCGAGCCCCTCACTCTGTCCTCTTATACATCCTCCCTCCTCAACAACTCTCCGGGCCCCTGATTTCCCCAACCTCCCTGGCTCCACGGCCCCAACCAGTACAAGGCCCTTTCGGCCCCTAACCCCCGAAGCTCAGGGTTTCCAGCTCCTATCCCCTGCCGCTCCCCCACCGCGAAAAAGAAACCACACACGGGGTCTCATCTCCAAGTACCCCAACCCAGTCTCCCACTCCTTTCTCCAGGGTCTATAACTCGTCGCTTTCCCAGCTCCAGGGCCAGGCCCCCGACCCCTTCCCCGCACTCCCCCGCTGAGCTCTGGGGCTCGACCTCCAAGTTTGCCAATTGATTCCTTGCCCGCCCGCCGCCAGCTCCGTGCCGGTCGAGAGCTCACCTTCGGGACTGGGCTCCGCCATGGCTTCCAGCATCGCCCCCTCCCCTCCTCCCGGTCCGGCGCCCCCCTCCCCTCAGCCGGGGATCCCGGTGCCGCCTCTGGTGCTCGGTACTCCTACTGCCTCGCTCCACAGAAGTGAACGCTTCGGCTCCGTTGAGACTCCAGTCCGCTAGTTGCTGCCGCCACCTCCCTTTACCACTGCCTCCCGCACTCCCGGACCGGGCCCCCTCCCCCAGCGCCGCCGGCCGCCTGCTCCCTCCTCCTCCTCTCTTCTCCCTCCTCCCTCCCTCCTTTCCCCCACGACCCCCCTCCGTCGGCGCCGACGCGCAATGCACCAAGGAGCTTGTAGTCCATCCGGGGACAGCGGAAAGGGGACCATATAAGCCTCTGGAACTTCAGGTCCCAGCAAGCCACGGGCTGGCGCAAGCGCAATAAGCCTCTCCCCGTCCCCGGGGAGTGGCGGGGAGCTCGGGTGTTAGTGCATAGACCGGAAGAACACGCAGAGGCCGCTGGGAAATGTAGGCTAGGCGGGACCGAGAAATAAGGGGAAGAAGGGATTAGAACTCTCGGCCACCATACTGCCTCATTCTGCACCTTCTTTCTCCCCCGAAAGACCGCCCCACTTCCGGCAGGGCGGAGAAATGATTGTTGGGAAATGAAGTTCTCTTGGTAATAACGTTTTGTGTCCCCCCCCTCCCAGTTTTCTCCCTCCCTCAGATTCTACTCCACGGAATCATACAGGCTGACACAAAATTTGTGACAGGCAACTGAGGACAACAGTACTTGCACCACCTCCCACACATGAATTATCTGGAATAACAAAATTGGATATGTTTATCTAAAGCAGATACTTTCAAACTTTCTTCACAGGAACCAACAATGAAAAAAAGAGTATTTAGAATCCAAGAAACCCGTACACGAAACTAGTGTTTCACCATTGACAACAAACGCATCCTTTTTATGCTGACAGGGAAATGCCCAATATCAACAGAATAAACCAAAAAATATATCTGTTCCTCCAAATAATACCCATTCCCTCCTCTTACCCCACCACTGAAGCCCACAAGATCTTGGAAACACTGAAAAGAAAAGCCGGAGAGAGCAACACAAAGCAAAATTCAGTTCAGCTTGGTGGTTTCCTCTTTATTGATGTGCCTCCTACCTTCCCCCGACAATTTCAGGCCCTTCCATCTACCCCCCAAAAAGAAGGTAATGAAAGGAAGGGATTGTTGGGGTTCTGAGCCCCCTGGGCAGTTAGAAAGGAACAGAAACCAAAACAATCACTGGAGGTGACAGAGATTGACAATCAAAAGTCTAAAGTGGAGTCAGGATGGAGGACAAAGAAAGGTGGGGAAAGGGGAGAAAGGAGAGGTACAAGACGTCATGTCCACCATTACCCCTCCTGCTAAGAGGGGCTGGAGAAAGAGCCTCAAACATTAAGAAGTGCAGGTCCCAAAGAAGGGAGGTGGTGTGTATGAGCCTGAAGGAGGTGGAGGTCAAGAAAAGGGTGCCATCTCTCTCTTTGTGGAATGGGACCCCCCACCTCAGGGGCAGCAGCTTCACAGACCATAGACACTTTCATCACTGTAGGCAATGTATAGAAAGAAGTCTTCTTCGTGGTGTTCCTGGGAATGAAAAGAGAAACTGGTGTTCAGGGAACTGGTTTCAGTTACTTGAACCATTCACTAACCAGATACATTCTTCAAGAACCATTCTTCTTAAGGACCCCCAAAACCAGTGCCTTACTCTCCTTCATTGACAGTAGGCTCTGCAGTAGTCCTGAGGCAAAATATTTGTGTTTTCTGATATTTTGGAATGAGGAAGGGAACTAGGTAGTCACCATAAGAACAGTTCCTCTAGTTCACTGGTTGATTCCCTTCTCTCTACTCCCACTGTTCTGTCCAACTCCAACCCAAGACAGACAGGAGGTTTTAATGCTACTAATGTTAATTCAAAAAATTAGCACTTTCTTCCCCTCAAGCTCTCCCAGAACTCCCTTCCAAAGCCTCTATTACTTCCCAGGAACCATACCTGGTATAGCTGACCCATAGTGGCACTAGTGGGTGGAATGACATTGTTGACAAAGAAAAACAAGGCATCCTCAGCTCGGAGATGTATTCGCTTCCGGATCAAGAAGTAGAACTGACCAACTGCCAAAGATATAAGGTGCAAGAAAGTCACAGAGGTCATAAATGCCTTTCAAAGAGCAGCTGCTAGATGGAGCCTCCTCCCACAAAGATGGCACTCCCACCAAAAGGAAGCAAACCTAGGTCTTGGGTCAGGTTCCCACCTGTGAGATCAGAAGGCACCAAGTATTTCTTTTTGTCCAGATCTCCTATCCGAGCTTTAGGAGCCTTTTCTACTATCACCTGATAAAGGAAAGATGAAAATTAAGAGACATAAAGACTACAGACCACAGCTCCACTGATCAAGAACTCAAGCTACAATATATTCCCAGTACTCACACCTGCCCCAGACTCATTTTTCTTTGTCTCTGTACATGCGATGCAGTACTGAGTCCAGAGATCCTGACCTCTCTGGCTCACTTAAATACCCAGGATCGATCCCCAAAAAGCGCGTCATAACAAACAAGTACCTTAATCAAAGGAGAGGGTGACTTGTCTGGGCTAACTCGAGCTTCAATCTCGAAAACTCGGCTAGCTGGGAGGATGACCATAAAAAGCCCAGACTGTCAAATCCCCACGGCCTCACTCACACAGATGCCAAAATTTCTCTCTCCAGTCGACATCCCCTCAACCCCCAGCTCTTCAGCTATTCCACTCCTTTCAACCCTCGTCTCAGAGACAGCAGTTTTGGGCTCAATTCTTGCCCCACCACAGACGGGCAGCCCAATTCTGGCGCTGCTGGTCTCAAACCCAAGCCCAGGCTTGGCGTCAGCGTCAGCACCCTGAGCCCTCGGCCTGGCTACTGTCCTCACCGGGACCCGGTCTGGGTATTTCTTTCGGATCTTCTCGCCCTCAGAGCGGCGCTTCTCGAACGGATGCTCCTCTTTGTATACGAACTTCATCCTCCCGGGAACCGGGCTGGACCGAGCTGGGCTGAGGGAACCCGGGGGGAGGGGGGCCGGGATGGGGGGGCGGCGGCAACGGCGGAGACTCGCGGGCGGACTCAGCGGAGCGATCCACGAACTTGCGCCACTTCCCTATTCACCAACCCCGCTCCCGACCTCCCGGGGTTGCCCCGCCTGCTAAGATACGCCAGTGGCACAGCGCACTAACGCCGCTAGCGTAGCACCACCCACAGTCTGTCCACCTCACGTCAACTGCGTAATCTCTTTGGAATCAATTTGTGGGCTACGCAGGCAACGTAGCAAAGGTTGTTGGGTTTTACTACGGTGAAAAATACTGAAAACCCTTTCTCCACCTCCCCCAGCCACTAAGTTTGGAATGAAAAGGGATAAGAGATGATAATCATAGTATGAGACTTGGTTCTCCAGAAGTTATTTTCGGAAATAACGTAGGAGAAGACCAGAGACAATTACAAGGCTAGCTATTCAGGAAACGTGTTGCTACGTTGAAGGCGGCCGTTGACACCAAAACAAAGTAGTACCCAAGTGGCGGAAATGATCTCCAGAAACAAGAGGAAAGAAATAGATGTTGAGACAGATGTATATAAGGATTAAGGACCAGGAATGAGCGGACCGATAAGGATTCGAAATGAACTCCAAAAGGCAGGAACCACGCCAGGGCGGAAGAACACTCCAGAATTTGTTTTCTACGAAAGTCATGTGATCTCAGAGAAGGGCGGAGCGTCACGTGGCGGGTGTAAAGAAGTAGAGCCGGCTACGGGGAGGAAGTGCCAGGGAGGCGGGGCCACGGCAAGAGCGGGCAAGGGCCCTCCCGGAACCTGGGTGCCATCCACCTGGGGGCAGCGCGGGCTCAGCCAGGCCACGTCAGTCCCCTGAAGCCAGGTTTTTCTCCAGCTATATGCCCTTTGGAGTCTCCAGGATTCAGCTCCTTTCTCATTCCATACACTACTGCTCTGAAGCTGCCCCACTCTCATTCTGTCACTGGGGTCCTTCCAGCCAAAGTCGCTGAAACCTACTATTCACTACTCCATCTCCATATTCATCACCAACTTGCTGTGGGACAGGGTGGATGTGAACACAGACCCCTCCCTTCATTTCCCAAAACCCCAGAGAAGGACCTAGGGCAGCTTTGGTTTCAAAGTTATAATGCATGGTTTAAAAGAGAGGAAAGGGGAAAAAAAGAGAGAAAGCTAGTTACAGGTTGGAGGGAATCTAGGGAGAAAAATAGAGGGAAAGAAAGGGAAGGACAAGTTTAGGGAGGATCCAGTGGCCCAAAATCCCAGTCTCCCACCCACAGCCCAGCCCTTGGAGCAGGAGTGAAGAATTAGATCAGTTTTTTTACAAGAGTTTTAAAAAAAAAATCAAATCACAACAAAGCTGACTTGGCTTCTCTTTGAGCCTCCTGGATCACGGTATGTCTGTCACTCCAGCCAGTCCTGCCTCTCCACCAGACAGTTTCGGCTCTCCCAGGCCTCCACCTGTCCCAGTCTGGGGTTTCCATGGAGTGTGAACACGAAGTTAGAGTGAGGCTGCTTCACAGTCTGGCCCATGTGTCCATCCAGACTCCAAATGGAGTGTAGGGCTCCCAGGGCAGAGGGGTGGGAGGGGCAGACCCTGCCCAGGCAGTCCTCACATTGGACAGGGCATCTGACGGCATCCCAAGGGCTTGCCCTCCCTTCCCCCCCACCCCAACTCAGGTGGAGGGGCAGCAGCTGTCACCAGAGCCTATGTTGGTGAAGATTTCGGCTCAACACGGATCGAACATCAGCGGTGAACCTGGGATGACAATAACTTGCATTGGTGGAGTACCTTATAGTTGACATCCTCACAACACTAGTGTAAGGCACCTCACTGGATAGGGGGCAGAATTAAACACCACTTTCACATGATGAGACAGGTCATTTGAACAAAACCCTATGGCTAAGAATGACGAGCTTTGGAATTGAGAAGACCTTGTCCAAACATTTAAGCTCTTAAGGGAAGAGAGGTAAGTAAATAAAACTCGGCAAATGTTTTTATTCCCTTGGGACCCCCCACCTCTATCTATCTTTCCTCAGAAATCCAGATTATCTAGAACTCACTTCCCTTACCTGAGGGCATCCAGCATTGGAAGCAGATTGAGAAGGGCCGTGTCACTGGGGTCACTGAACCAGGATTTGATGGGGATGGCGTTGTCTGGAGTGGGTGAAAATGTAGATGAGAAGAAAGGATTCAAGAGATACTGGAAGTTTTTCCTGAAAATCATTACTTAAAAAAAAAAAAAACTATACCTCCACCACCCAAGTCAACAGTCTAAGTAAAAATCTTCCTGATTATACATTAATCACCCAAATTCATACTAGTGTGAAGTTTCTAGTTAAATTTTATTGTCATTGTGGCCCACCTGAAACAAATGATACAGGAAATCTGACTTGTGAAATTCACACATGGGGGCGGGTATCTCACTTGAAATAGAGAACTTGCACGTGGACCAGGAAATCCCAGACCTCAAAGCCCAGGTATCCAGCCTTCTAGTTCCCTCCATTCAAAATGCCTCATAAGTGGGCTGAGTATGTTGCTCGCCGGTTGACCAGCATGTACAAGACCCTGGGTTCCATCCCCAGCACTGCCAAAGCGGGGTGGGGAGGAAAAAAAAAAAAAAAAAACAACCCCAGAGTCATGTCCTGGCCCTGACAGACTCATCACCTTCCCCCATACCTGGGTGGCTCCTGTAAGCCCCTGGTGAATTATCCAGGATCACAATGCTGGAGAGGTCACTGTGGACCACAGAGAGGTCCTTGATGTAGCTGCCCAACTCCAAAGTGCAGTGCTGAAAGGCAGGGGATTATGGAGTACACCTCCCCAACTTCCCCATCAAGGCAACTGCCTCAAAGCCAGATCCCTCCCTAGCGGCCTGCATCACTTTTAAACCTGGACTCTAGCTCCTTACCTGTCTGTAGTATCTCCTCTTGAGAATGCTTCTGCTGTTGTCCAGTTTATCTGCCACAGCAGAGCCATAAATCTCCATGCTTGCTGTAAACACCACCAGCTCGTACCACTGGCTCACCTGAAATAGATTGGAAGAAAAAGAGGTGTCACAGGAGGTGATGATTCATTAAGATGTACAGGGTGAGGGTGAGTGTGTGTGTGTGTGTGTGTGTCTCGCTCCCTCTCTTTGTCTCATGCACCTGCATGCTCGCTCGCTCGCTCTCTCTCTCTCTCTCTCACACACACACACACACGCACCTCCCCCTACTCCACCCTGGGTTTTTTAAACTGGTGTACAGTTCTTTTTCAGTCTAATGCTTCAGGTCTCCTAGCAACATCAAATGTCTTTGAGGACAGGAAATTCTGAAATTCCCCAAACCTTCAAAATCAGTGTGTGAGGCTTTCCATAACTTAAGATTCAAAAATACAAACACAAATGAGTAGGATGCCCATGGAAGAATAGAATTATATCAGTATAACAAATGAACCCCAACTACTGAAAGTCATTCCTTTACCTTCATACACCCTTCCCTCTCCAAAATTGCCCTCACCCACTTCTCGCCCCTTTCCCCAAATCCCCTAAAATCCCCAAGCCCTACAACTATTCCTTCATTACAGAATTCCCTTTAGCTTGTGTATACTCACCACTTCTAAGAAGAAGTCCACATGGGGCCGCTTATGTACAAAAAAACGGACAGGATGTTTGTCTATGACCACCTGTAGAAAGGAAGGACTGAGCAAATTCTGAACACCATGACACAGGCCTAGACAACATCTCTGTAATCCCCACTACCTCCTGCTTTCCAGGCTGACACAGGTGCCAGGGATCGGGGACCAGATACTCTGGGCAAGGGAGCCCAGGACTGGGCAGAGTAACGGACACAACCCTTTCATCACTATCCATCCCCACACACCTTGAGAATAAAGTCAGGAGGCGTTCCAGGCCGCACTGTGGGCCTCAAGACCCCATCATGGTGGGAGTGAATAAGTGTCTCATCCAGATCCAGCACCAGGATCTTCCTCTTTACCTGGGCTGAACCACAATGGGAAAGAAAAACAGCAACTGACCTCCAGCCCACAGGTGGAGTCCTACTTCATCTCAAGGGGTCTTTCCAGCCACCATACTCACCTAGCCGATTCCGAGACACAGGAGATAAAGGGAGGATATCATATCGAACAGTTTGGTATTGAATTACCTAAAGATAAAGGATTAGAATACTTAACAAGGACATCTTCCCCAGTAACAATAACAGGTATCAAAAACTGACTATTTATCACATGCTGGGCACTATGTGATTTAGGATTATTTCACTTAATCCTTAAAACTATTCTAATAATATTATTATCCCTCTTCCCCAAAACCTTTTTTTTTTGGGGGGGGGGCGGGGTTACTGGGGATTTTACCAGGAGTACTTTACCACTGAGCTACATCCCATTCCTTTTTAGTTTTTATTTGAGACAGGATATCACTAAGTTGCTGAGGCTGGCTTCAAACTTGTAATCCTCCTGCCTCAGTCTCCCAAGTTGCTGGTTTACATGTTTTCATCACCATGCCTGGTGTTATTATCCCTATTTTAAGGATGAAGAAACTGAGGATTCCAAGGTTTCAACATCTTACCTCCCCAATTTAGAATGAAAACTGCATGAGTGCATGAATTTTGTCCCAATCATGGCTTCTTTCCCATTGCCTAGGACACTGCAGCAAGGGTGGGCAGTTAATATTAACAGAATCAATGAAGGGGTAGAGTCAGGATTGTTCTCTGAAGACTGACCCATGAGCCTGCCATCTTAACCATGATGTTTGGTATGCTGAACAAAGAAATCCCGACTTTCACTCCAAGGATTCATTGTGGAAACATCATCTTCCATTGGGAACTAAAAGCCTCAGACTCTTGGTGGACAAGGAGATCCTTGGTTTGCTAAGGGGAATAGAGAATGAGGGAATCCAAAGGTTGTCAGGTCAGCTAAGTTCCTCTGGCTGGTGGCCACAAGACCTATTTTAACCAGCCACCTGTCCATTTGTGTCTCTATAAGCCAAGTCACAAGTTTCAGAGAACCTCAACCCCCTGAACAACCTCCTTAGCCCAGTACCCATGTTAGGCAGAGAATATTGGAAAGCTCCACCTGCCAGAATGAAGTAAGGCCTTTGAGAGAGAAGTGAAGAAGGGACAAAAATGTCACCACCTCAGCCTTCCAGCTTTCCTTCTCCAAGCCTTCTCTAGAGGATATTTCCCAAGTCAGATCTACCATGCAAAGCCTGGCAATTCCCTCTGCTCTTTTCTTCTAAGGCACACTCTTTGATCTATGCCTAGGCCCCAAGCCAAACCAGAACCAGGCTCCCCCTGTTTGCAAACCAAAAAATCCTCTCTCCCCTTAATCCCAAGGCATCTGCCCTTCTTTTCTCCCTGGGCTGTGATGAGGGCTGAAACAGCTCGGGTATCCTGCCCTCCTATCTCGGGTTGCATATGCTGGGCATGTAGGGAATGCTCCAAGTGTTTGCCAGAAAGCGGGGTGGGGGAGGAAACTAGATTGGAAAGGAAGACAAAAGGCTGTTGGGTCAGTGTTACCCAAAAAGCAATTCTGGAAGTAACTAACTTTCCAATAAATGGACTGGAGTACTACTCCCCTAAAACTGGTGTATTAGGGGGGAGAAGAGGGAATTCTCAGGACAAGATCAGACAGAGAATGGATGACAGTCAACACATAAAGAAAACCCCAGGAGCTAGCTTCACATTTGTCTCAGCCTTTCTGACCTCAATTTTTTCTTGGCTTCTAACTTTCTTAGGGGAATAGCCCTGCCTACAACCATCACCTCCCCAAACAGTGGGAGCCCTAAATCAGGAACTGGAAGAAATAAACTGTTGGAGAGGAAGAACCCAAGGCCAGGCCATTCCCCAAAATCAATAAGTCAATCACCACTCCCACCCAGGGCTTTCTGGGAATTCTCTTGACCCAGGCTACTATATTTTATTCCTTCAAATTGTATTGAAATATGCCAGAGAATACAGACTTCTACACCCCAGCTCACTCAGTTTTCCCCACACTCCTTCAGAGTATTTGCCCAACTGGTGATGACAACACAGGGGCACATTCACTAAGTGATGTTAGCCAAAGGAGCTTCTTCAACCTTGGAGAAAAGCTTTGGGGGAGGGAACCTAGAGATGTTTAGGTACATCCAAACAGTCTGACCCCACCCCCCTCCCAATTCTAAGGTCTTCTGGAGCAACAAGCACATCTTCAGATGCAAGCTCTACTAACCAGCCTGTCTCCTAACCCAGATGCCCAAACTTTAATGTGCTCCCTCCCACAACTAAGGAATGTCATCATAAAAGCATCTTTTTTCTGTCCAGAGTCCCAATAAATCCATAATCCTACAATCCCGCTATGAAATAAGTTTCCAGGGCCTTTTTGGAGGAGTTTCCTTACAGAAACTGCAGAGGTTTCTCCTTCATATCAAGGGCTTTCCCCAAGTTCCCATCCTCGTTTGTTACTTATGCCCTCCTACCCCCCCACCCCCCCACCCTTGACACACATAAGCCTCTCTCTCCAAGACCAAACAAATCCAGAGGTTCCAACAGGAGGGTCTTTCACAAGCCCACATCCATAGATCTGGCTGCCAGCAAACAGGTGTTCCCCGCCTCTCGGTTTCTTTAGCAACAACTCCAGCTTTCTTAAAGAGCGCCCCACCCACCACTCTAGCCCCCAAGAGTTGCCAAATCGTGTGCTATCTAGTCCCATTAAAGCCCCCAGATCTCAGTTCTCTTATAAGGGTCTCCCTCACCACCCTATGTCCCGCTTAGGATGCCCTAATCCTCTCGTAGAAAAGCCCCGTCAGGACTCCCTTCTTGGGCCCAGAGGCCTGACACTTTCCGAAAACGCATGAGCACCAAGAACAGAGTTCCCCACCACCGCCAGTGCCCACCCAGGCTCACCGTGCGGATCTGCCTCCGCAAAAGGTAAATGAAGAAGCTCCAGAGCTTGGCGGCGAAGGCCACGAACGTGCGCAGCCCCAGCAGACACTGCGTCCGCATCATCCCGATGACCCCGGCACCGCCGGCCCCGGGGCCCCCGCGGCCCAGCTCAGCCAGCCCCCCGGGGGCAGCCCCCCGCCGCCGGGAGGGGGAACGGGGGCCCCGAGTGGCAGAAAAGGCTGCAGAGAAGGGCACGGAACGGGCGGCTCAGAAAGCCACCCCTGGCGAGGGGAAAGCCCAGCGGAACGGGGATCTGGGGGACAGGCGTGGGCAGCCCGCGGGGGCCCACATGGGCGGGGAGGGGCACCGACGGCTTCGCGAAGTTTGCAGGCCGAAACAGGTCGGGCAAGGACGGGGTCCTCTGAGACTTGGAGGGAAGGGGATGGAGAATTGGGGGAGGGGGTTGTGGGGGAGGGGGTTAGGGAAAAGGGAGGGAGGGAGACGGGAGGGGGAGGGGAGGGGAAGCGGAGGGTGGCCCGCTGCGCAGGCGCACTAGGGGGTTGCCCGCGGGAAAGGGGCGGGCGGGGGCAGAGGCCCGCGAAGGGCCGGGGCTAGAGAATGGGCAGGCTGAGCGAAAAGAGCAGGGTAGCAAGGGGAGGGGGAGACGAAAGGCGCGGAGCGCTGGACCGAAATGGCCTCCCCCTCCCCGAGGTCGGCGGTCTCTTAGCCGCTGGGGAGCGGGGCTGCAGCTTCTGCAGCTGGATTTCCCACTCTGACAGGCGCCATTTTACCGCCCAGAGGTCTCCCTCCTCCTCTCTTTCCCCCCTCCTCTTCCCGTCTGACACTACTTCCGGTGGTGACGTGTATTCGCTTCACCGGGACTAAAGTTCCCCCTACTCGGTCTTACGGGGGTAGGGATAAGGAAAGCCGAGCGCGCCCCCAACAATTCGATATTGCGCAAGCGCCGAAGGCGACCGCGGGGCGGGGACTGGAGCAAAGTCTTGAACAGCGTGGGCGGGGCGGAGTGACGTCACTTGCCCTGTGGCTCTGACCGTCGAGGAAGGGATGTGCGACCCCCTCCCCTTCTCTCAGACAACTGTCCCAACGGCTGTTCCCGCCCCAGTCATTGTGAAAATGTAGGCTGTGGGTATCGTACCTACGTCTGTGCGCTAAGGCTCAGGAGGAGCCATTTCGCTTAAGCTCTCCTGGGAATACTGAACATAAAATCACCTCTCATTCCGGCCTTTGCCAGCTCTTAATTGTGCGAGGAATGAGTGCCCCGCCCTCTCACCCGGAGCGGGCGGGGCTGTGGATCGTGACGCCATCAGAGAGCGTCGTAGTAGGAGTGGGAAGCCAGTCTGAGATGCTGGATTCTCTGTTGGCCCTGGGCGGCCTGGTGCTGCTTCGCGGTAGGAAACTAAGGCACCGGAGGTTCCGGGTCAGATTTATGGGGTGGAAATGGGAAGGAAGGGCCATAGGTCATAGGCTAGGAGTGGAAGTCGCGGTTGTTTTATGAAGCTGGAAACCTCAAGGTTCTCAGTGTTTATTCTGCCCTCGCTTTCCTTAGATTCCGTGGAGTGGGAGGGGCGGGGTCTTCTGAAAGCGCTCATCAAGAAATCTGCACTGCGGTGAGTAACAGGCAGCGTCTCCAGTCCTTGCTTAAGAAGGGAGCCAGTGCCCCACTCTTAGACATTTCCCTCTCATCTCTGCCTTAGTGGGGAGCAAGTCCACGTCTTGGGCTGTGAAGTGAGTGAGGAAGAGTTTCGAGAAGGTTTTGACTCCTGTGTCAACAGCCGGTAAGTACAAATTGGGAGAAATTTCATTAGATGTGGGGCCCCTGTTGTTAAGAGACTTTCTTAACAGCAACAAACATAAAAACCCGGTCTGGGTCGCATGCCTGTAATCCCAGTAACTCGGGAGGACCCCGAATTTGAGGCCAGCCTCAGGCAACCTACCGATACCCTTTCTCAAAAAGGGTTTGTGAATGTAGTTCAGTGGTAGAGCGCCAATGGGTTCAATCCCCAGTACTCCCCAACACACACACACAACACAACACAAAGGTAGGCCATATTGTTGAGTAGTAGAGACCAAACTGGAGGATAAGAATGAATACTCTCTGCCTTTTGAGTCATTCAGAATCTGGTAGTGCTTAATTCAACCATGCATTCCAGACTTCGATCAACACTGACTGCAAACTTCTGAGGGTTTTGTCCTAGGGGCAGAGGGTTCATTGCATGTGCAAAACTAGGAAGGTATGATAAGACATATCATGAAAGGTGGAAGAGCTTCCCAAAATAGCTGAGGTCATGCAGATAAAGAGGTAACTTGATTGTAAAAGATATAAATTTTCAAACCACTCCTCAAAGTCAGTGGGGAGTGGTTTGAAAATTTGGCAGGAGAGTTGATAACACCATGCCTGTGTGTGTGCTTGCCTCACACGCTAGGCAAACACTCTACCACTGAGCTACACAGCCCCAGCCCTATAATCTTTTTTTTTAAGTTATTGAGAATTGAATCCAGTGCCTTACCCATGCTAGGCAAGTGCTCTACCTCTGAGCTACAACCCCAGTCACTGTGTGGAGAATGGATTGGAAGGAGGCAGCCTAGAGACAGAGAGACCAGGTAGGATGGCTATTGCAGTAATCCAGGTTCAGTGTATACATACTGTGTACCAGTTATAAACCATGTGTGCTGCTATATAGGGGAGATAGAACAGTGAACAACATTGTTTAGAATTTTTTAATATTTATTTTTTAATTGTAGTTGGAAACAATACCTTTATTTTATTTATTTTTATGTGATGCTGAGAATCGAACCCAGGCCCTTGCACATATTAAGCAAGTGCTCTACCACTGAGCCACAACCCCAGCCCTTGTTCTAATGAATTTTAAAGAGAATAATGCTGTGAGGTGACCAAGGTCTAACTCAAGACAGAGGCAGTACAATTGGAGAGTTTAGAACAAATGTAAAAGTAGCTCAGTAGGTAGAATTCCCAGTTAGGTGATTTTGTACAAGTAGCAAAGCCAAGCTTGGAGCTTAGGCTATTGGACGCTAAAGTCTGTGCTCTCAATCTTAGGTTGCATGTCCAAGAGTGTAAGCTCCAATATTTAAGGTATTAGCGAAAATTTAAAAATAGAGCCACAAAGATAGGATAAATTTGAGGTGGCAGGGGAAAGGGGTAATATTATGTCTCCTATTTTCCCTTTTCAGGCTGATTTACTATGACCTCTTCAGAGACCCTCTCAGTTGGTCAAAAACTGGGGAGGCTTTTCCTGAGGGACCCCTGGGAGTCTTGAGAGCCATATGTAGGAGGACAGATCCTGGTCCTGCCACCATAGCTCTTGATTCACTCAGCTGGCTTTTGCTTCGTCTTCCCTGTTCTGCAGTCTGCCAGACCCTCCATGCTCTGAGCCATCAAAACTCCTACCCTGGTGAGAACCCTCCTTACCCTTACATATCTCCACCTGGAAGGCAATATTCCCTTTTCCTACCTAAGAATCAGCATCAAGACTCAGGAACTTGGGAGGCAGAGGCAGAAGGATCACAAGTTTCAGTAACATCCTGTCTCAAAAAAGGGTTGGGGATGTAGGTTGGTGGTATAATGCCCCCCTGGGTTCAAGCCGCAGTTCCACCAGGAAAAAAAAATCCAGCATCAGCATCAGTTGTCTCCAAAGACTTTCTTACATCTTCAACCTTTTGGGGGGAGTTTGTTGTTGTTATTGTTTTTAGTTTTTTGTACCAGGGATTGAACCCAGGGATGCTTAACCATTCATAGCCCTTTTTTATTTTTATTGTGGGACAGAGAAGATGCTAAGGCTAGTTTTGAGCTTGCGATCCTCTTTCCTCAGCCTCCAGAGTTGCTGGAATTGCGGGTGTACCCCATCACACCCAGAATTTTTGACTATAATCTCTCTTTTTTTTTTTTTTTTTAAAAGAGAGAGAGGGGGAATTTTTTGATATTTATTTGTTTTTAGTTTTCGGGGGACACAACATCTTTGTTTGTATGTGGTGCTGAGGATCGAACCCGGGCCGCACGCATGCCAGGCGAGCGCGCTACCTCTTGAGCCACATCCCCAGCCCTATAATCTCTTTTATATGTATGGCTTTATTATTTTTTTTAATGTGGTGTGCAGGATCGAACTCAGTGCCTTACATGTGCTAGGCAAGTGCACTATCCCTGAGCCACAACCCAGCCCCTCTATAACCTTTTTTTAAGTTATTGATAGACATTTTATTTATTTTATTTATTTGTTTGTTTGTTTGTTTATATGCAGTGCTGAGAATCGAACCCAGTGCCTTACCCATGCTAGGCAAGTGCTCTACCTCTGAGCTACAACCCAAGTCATTTTTTTTTTTTAGCATTTATTTTTATTCATTCACTTAACAAACATTAAATACATACAACATATAAGGTTCAATAATGGAAAAATAAAGTCTAACTTTGTAGTTGGGTCCTTTCTCCCTGGGAGCTCAAATTCTTATGCAGATAAGTATACAAGATAGTCTGATAAAGACTAGAATGATTTAGGAATATATGTACAGGGTACCTTAAAGAAGGAACCATCCTGAAGAGCAAGGCTTAGTCAGACAGATTTGGCCCAAGAGTCAGGAACATTGGGACTAGCCCTAAAGTACACTGTGGATATTAGAATGAGATTTCGAGTTAGACACACCTAACTTTGTATTAAAGTGCTTGATCTCTCAGCGCTTCAGTTTTCTCTGTTTAAAAAAAAAAAAAAGGTGGGGGATACGATGGTGTTAGGAAAAAAAAACACTTGAAATTGCCATATGGCTTGATCTAAAATTGCTGACCTCTGTAAAAACTAAAATGTTGTGTTAATGTTTAGTCCAGAGCCCAACACTCTTAATCCTCCCAAAAAGGGAAAGAAAGGAGGCCCTAAGATCTTAGGAAATTACAAAAAACTGCAAGCAGTACATTGTGTAAGAGATGAAACTGAAAAGTTTGTGGCTATCAGGAGCCAAAAATGTTTATTCCATCCTGAAGACCATGAGGAGCGGCCAGAGTCAGTGGTCCCTTGATCAAATTTGCACTGGAGTAAGAACATGTATGACAAGAAGCTGGGTACACTGGTGCATGCTTATAATCCCTATGGCTCCCCTGCGATCCCAGTGCATGGGAAACTGAGACGGGAGGATCTCAAGTTTAAGGCCAGCCTGAGCAACTTAGACCTTGTCTCAAAATAAAAAAGGGCCAGGGGTATAACTGAGCGGTAGAGTGTAGGGGCTCATAGCTAAGCAGTGAGATTGGCTGGGGTAAGTCAGGACTCTGATGGAATGTGGGCCTCTCCTTCCTTTTCTTCAGTATTTGCTACCTCACCTCAACCCTAAATGTTCACTACTTTCCTTCATGCCCTGCATTTCCTTTTCTCTCCAGGTGATAGTTCTCCAGTAAAGCAGGTGCATGTATTGGGCCTGCTACATGAAGAACTTCATGGCCCAGGCCTTGTGGGAGCACTGAGCAGTCTTACCCAGACTGAGGTGATTCTGGGTGGTTTAATGGGCCAAGCCTCAGCCCATGTCCTCTTTCGGAAGCCCCAACAGCGCCCAACTTATCAGGTTAGGAGAAGCAACAAGAACAACTAGAAATTAGAGTCAGGAAAAGGGTTGGCATGATGGAAAGAATAATTTAAAAAAATTTTTTTTTTTAATACTTTCCTGTTTTATTTTGTTGGTTGTGTGTGTTAGAGAGACAGACAGGTCGAACCCAGTGCCTTGCACTTTGGTAGGCAAGCACTGTACTACTAAGTTACATCCCTAGCCCTAGAAAAAGATTTTTTTAAAAAAGACTAGAATAGTTATTAGTGGGAAGGAGGAACAAGTCTGTAGGGAGAGACTTAAAGGAAGGCTAGGGCTGAAAACAATGTGTTCAGGTGATTGGGGGCTGAGGTGAGAGGTCCTGAATTCTCTAGTTTGTTCAGTGGGATGAAAAAAAAAAAAAAAACCTTTTTAACTCTCTTCTTTATTCTCCTTAGACTTCGTGGTTTTCCATCCTTCCTGACTTTAGCCTCGACCTCCAGGAGGGGCCTCCCCTAGGGTCCCAGCACCACCCAGATCCTCATACAGCTCTGGTACCTAAAAGCTTGGGATCTGGCAAAAGTAGAATAAAACTGCAGAGGTTGGGAGTGGAGTCAAGGATTCAGGAATGAGGCCAAGTGGCAGTATCTTTTTACCTGCAGGTGGACCCCACGACTCATTTGACCTTTAACCTTCACCTGTCCAAGGAAGAAAGAGAAGCCAAGGATAGCCTGATTCTGCCCTTCCAGTTCAGTTCTGAAAAGTAAGGCTGGAGCCTAAGTGCTTGGATCCCCAGCATTTGAGGTGGGGTGAAGACAGGTTATTGATTAACCTCTCAGACTTTATAGGAGCTAAAGTCCACTTCCAGATATAAGCCTGGGGAATGGTTCTGTACCCACCCATATCTCCCATAATGGCGGAGGGTCTTCCTGTCTTTTATCTCCATTTCAGCTATGGATGGGTTCTACCTTCATAATTGTCCCCAGAGTAATCTTGCTCTGGGCTGAGCCAGAGCAAACCCTAAGAGGTAACTTTATTCTCCTGCCAGCAGTGCTAGGACATAGGACAGGAAGATGCATGGGTGTGGCAAAGGCTGGTTAACAACGGCTTGGTAGGTGCCTCTTGTCTGAGCCCAGTGTGTGGGTGGATGAAGCAAGATCGCTGCAGAATCCTTCCCCTCAAGCTGCTAAGAACAGAGCTTTATTAAAACAAGAGTAGTACTTATGCCAAGGTCAACTGGTTCTTTCTTAGCCCTAAATAATCTTGGAGGTCAGAGGAGGAACTGGGACCAAGAAAATGACACAAGCCTAGTTTGGGTTGCCTAAGTGAGTCACAGGCACCTCTAAGCGGGTATCCAGACTTGACCTAATAACCACCTCACTAGCACCAATTCTCCCTCAGACAGCAGGTTCTACTGCGTCCTGTGCCAGGCCAGGCTACCAGCCACATCTTCTATGAGCCAGATGCTTATGATGACCTAGACCAAGAAGACCCAGATGATGACCTTGATATTTGACTGGCCAGACTTGACTACACTAATGGAAATGGGTGGGAGTGGGAGGACTGTGGTCCCAGTTTCTGTACTGCCTTTGTTCCTTTGTCTATGGAGGTCCTACCCTATGAGGTAGGAAGCAGTATCCGATCAGAACAGAAAGTGGGATGAAGAGATAGCATAAGGTGAGGAAATAGGAACAACCCCCCCATACCTAATAAAATCTTTTATTAATTTTTTTTGTTGTTGATAAAAAGGAAATGAGTGGTGGGCAGTGAGAGTGAATGAGGAAAGCCAAGCTCTTGAGTCTTTGGAGTCCAGTCTAAGCATTGGGTCTGAGTCACGATGAAAATTAAATGAGCAAGAGTGGCCTGGCACACAACTGGTCCTCTACAAGGGTTTGAATTGAAGTAAATGTACTTTAGGTACCAAGCTCCCTCCAAGGATCTGAGTGGGAAGAATCAGGCACAGAAAGAAAAGAAAAAGCCTACTTTCCAAAACGTATTTTTTATTACTGTACAAAAAGCACACTCTCCCCACTTTTTGTCTCCTACCCAACCCCCTCCCCCCCAGAGGACTGTACATGGTGTACAGGGATGGAGTGACCAGGAGGCCTTTGTCCTGCACTCTGCCCACAGGCTGAATCCTCTGCCCTGGGTCCTTTGAGTCATTTGGGCATGCCCACAGTTTGTCAGGCTGGGGCATGGGAGTCCCACCTCACACATACTCCTTGGCAGAGTTGGACTTAGGGTAGGAGCGTGGTGCACGGTACACAGCTTTGCTCTCCTGTCCAGGACAGGAGCAAGAGAGCAATGCACCTCCTAGGAGGACCAGAGCAGACCCTGCCCAGCCAATAAAGATGGCAGAACCAAACTCATACCTGTGGAGAGAAAGGATTGAGATCAGAAACCTGGCCTGCCTCTGCCTTCCTATCCCAAGAACCCATATTTGCTTCTTAGACAGGGATCCCAGACTTACTTAAAATTCACAGGGACGGTGGGGTTATAAAAGTCTGTGACAATCTGATGACCATACCAGGAGCATGCTACCAAGGCTGCAAGACCTGGAGAGAGAATAAGTATTCCAATATTGTGAGGGTCCAAACCAGCACCTTCTCCAACCACCTCCCACAAGGGCGAGAGGAGAGCTGCCTTTGGACCTATGACTCACCTGCTACGATGAAAATGATGCCTCCAGTCATAGCTATACGGGCCTTTTTTACTTTATCGTCTCCCCCACAGCGTGTGCACTTCATACCCATCGTGGCCACAAACATAGCGAGGAAGCCCAGCACCAAGGATAACACCATGAGGGCTCGAGTGGCCTGCATGGCCGCTGCAGAGGAGAAAAGACGCCGTCATTGCTGGAAATGGCTGGCAGTCTTGGCTGGGAGGGCCGCACCCACTATTCCCTGAACCCGCGTCTAGCGGTCGCTAGATTCTGACGCCCTCAGATGTCTAAGGCCCTACCTCCAGCGGGCAGGCTCCCACACCCTCGGGACAACGTAGCCTTCCAGCTCGCGCCCCGCCCTTTCTGCTGAGAAACCCGCCCGGGACGCCAGGGTTTCGATGAAACTGCTCCGAGTAGGGGGAAGGGTAAAAGGGGGCAGCCAGAACCTGGGCATAAGCTGAACATCCTGATGCGCGTCCCAGCCCTGGTCCCGCCTTCGGGGCCACGGGCCTGCGGCTTCGGCTAATCGTCGGATAAGATTAGAGGCCGCAGGTGGCCGCCCACGTCTGACAAACTGCCCAGCTGCGCAGCCCTCCGTACAGCCTCAGCCCCGACCCCCTTTTGTCCAAACTAAAAGGGCCGGATAACACGGAGGCCTTGGCTGGCCCAGGGCGGTGGGGAGATGACGACCCAGGCTTAGGACTCACTTGCCCAAGCCCAAGTGGAGGCTTGTGGGGGCATTCGAGGAAGAGCGCAGGTTGCAGAGGTATCAGCCCACGTGCGTCCATCAGAACCCCGGCTCGCCCCAGCCCAGCCCCATTGCCCCAGCAAGACCACTTCGACTTCCTCCTGTCCCTGGCAATCAAGGCGCCTGGCCGGGGGACCTCGGCCCTGCCCACACCCCGCCCCACCATCTCGGCCCTGCGCGCGTCCGCCCCGTCGGTCCCGCGGCCTTACCCGGCAGAGCAAGCACCGAGTCGTACATTTTGCAGCTCATCATGCCGGTGCTTTGTGTAACGCAATCCATCCACAGCCCCTTGTACATGGCCTGGGCCGTGATAATGTTGTCGCCTGCGTACGAACTCATCTGCCATTGCGGGATGGCGGTGCTTGCCACCAGGCCCACCCAACCCAGCATTGCCATGGAAAAGCCCAACAACTGCAGGCCTGAATTGGCCATTTCCGCCCTCAAAAAATACGGGACGCCGGACTGGCGACCCTACGAGACAAACCGAATCCGGGGGTCAACCCAACAAGACAACTTGGGGTGGTGTTTTAAGTCACCCAAAGAAGCAAAAATGTTTTTGACCGGATGACTTCAAATCTTCTTGTCACCCGAAGTAAACACAAATCGACCCCTCGGGTGGAGTGACGGTCTCAGCAGAGGGAACAGGCTATGCCCGAAGATCTGGTTTCAGACAAAAGCAGTCCCCGAAGGTCAGGCGGTTCTCTCCTGCGCTCTCAACGAACCCTACCAAACAAAAGGTAGAGGGGCCGTTTGGGTGCGGTTCCCAGAAAGTATTAGGCCTATCGGTCCAGGGATTCGCTGCGCAGGAAAGGTTGCTGGGCAGTGAGCGGGCAGGTGCGGGCGGACAGGTGCGCGGCGCACCTGAGTATATGTAGGGAGTCGGGGACGCGCCCCAGCGGACCGGGAGCGCGGGAGGGGGGGCGGGACCAGAGGGGCAGCCGAGGGTGACCTGACGTCACTGAAGGGACACTCACCTGAACCGGAAGTCCTGGCCCCCACCCCTCCTTGCCCAGGTGAAGAGGAAGAAACCTGAGCACCAGGGTCACGCCCCTCCACTTGCCGGGCTTTAACTACAGGTGGCAACGTCTTCTCAGGAGTCTGAAACTCCCAGTCAGCCCCTCCAGACTGGATTTCCCACTCGCACCAGGGTACCCCTTCCTTCCCTTCTTCTCAACAGGTGCGCTTGGGAAGCTGCGGAGCCAGATCTGGGGAGACGCCCCTGGAAAGGCTCGGCGCCACCTTTTCCCTGCAGGTTTATGCCCCAAGTGTTCTTCGTCCAGCCCGCCTTTCGACTCCACCCTTCGATCTTCTCCTCTTTCTTTTGTCTCCACCTTCAATGGGCCCTGACCCAATCCCGGAAAATCACCCATTGCTGCAGACTTCTTGAAGTTTCCACTCCCAGTGACATCTCCCCAGGACCCCTCCCCTTTACTGCCGGCACCCTCTAGCTAGGCCCTCCTATAGTCAGCGAGCTTCTGGGCACGGCTCTCCAGTAACCCCACTTCCTGGTCCTCTGTTCCAATCCTTGACATACTTAATGCCTGAGCCTGTCAGTATCCCCTCCAACATCAAGGCTCCTGGCAGAGGGCAGAAACCACTGAGGTGAGCCTGCAGAGGGTGGGGAGAAGGGTAAGCCTAGATCAGAATCTCGGCTACACCCATCATTCCCTTCCCTTGGAGTCTTTTCAAATTTACCCTCCACTTTCCTCACCCCCTCCCACGGCTAGCACATTTCTCTCCCTTGTTCTTATCCTGGGCGGAACTGTTTGTGTCACTCTACCATCCCCTCACCATTCTGTCCTCCCCAACATCTGGCTCTCCAAAGTGGCCTTTGATTCCACCCTCATTCTTCCACCTCACCCTCACATTCTTTCTCACTCTCTCCAAGCTTCTGCCCCATCCTTCCTCCCAACATCTCTTCCAATCATCTGCTCATTCCTCTCTTTGATCATCTCCCCCTTCTTGCCTTTTCCATTTTGTAGTTTCCTGTTTCACTCCCTCCCTGTTAGTTTACCATTGTACCCAATCTCCAATCCTTTGGAGCCCAGCCCTTTTCATCTCCTTTGTGCACATTACTGCCTCTCCACCCCTTTTTCTTGCTGTTGTCTCCCAGTCTACCTCTCTTCCAACCTCCTTGCACCTTTCATACCCCTTTCTTAATCTGGCTCTCTCATTACATTTTCCTCTCTTCATTTTTTCATCTGTTTCCTCATATCTTCCATCTATATTCTTCTCAAACATTTGTCTGTAAATCTTTCCTTGATTTATTCAATGAACACTAAAGAACACTCTTGTTAAGCTCACTAATCTGCTTTTGTATAAAATGCAGACCTTCGTGAACTCTTTGTCATTCATATTTATTGTAATTTTTGATTAGTGGTGAGATTCTTTTTAACAGGTTCCTTCCAGCTCTAAAAATCCATGTTCCCCTTTGCTTGAGTGTATCTAACACCTCTCCAAGCTCACTGCCACCACTACAGGGTAATCTGGACACTGTAACTACCTCACACCCAATCTCCCCATCTTCACTCTTGTCCTTCTAAAATCTGTTCCCCGGAGTGATCTTTGTTTACGAAATTAGATGTGTTGTTTTCTTTTTAAAATATTTTAGTGGCACTCCTGTGCTCATAGAAGTAAATGCCATACCATGGCTTACCTGGCTCTGTGCCTCAGCCAACACTGGACTTCTCTCTGTTGGTGAAATGTACTATATAACTTCTGGCTCAGTAAAGCATCTTTGAACACTCTGTTCTCTATGTCTGAATACTCTTCTCCATCTACCCCCACCCTCTTTCCTCTACCCAGCTAACTGATTCATTCTTCAGCTATCAGCTCAAATATCACTTCTAGGAAGACTGGCCTGATTGCCCCACCCCAGACTGCTCAATATTCTCATGGCTACGTCACTTTTTTTCAAAGCCTTATCATAGTCTGAAACTATTTTGTGCGCTTATTGATTCAATATGGGTCTCCCTATTGTATGGTAAATTCCATGAGGTTACAGATGTGTCTGGATTTTATCACCAATGAATATTTGATAAATGAATGAATAAATTTCAAATAAATAATATTTCACCCACTGTTCAATAACTACTTTCTGAATGTCTGTCATGTGTGTCAGGCACTATACTTGACCATAGGGATACAGCAATGAACAAAAGAGATAAGGACACTATATTCATGTAACTCATTCTCTAGAAGGAAGCAAGTAATAAAGACATAAAATGGTAAATGTTTTGAAGGCAATGAAACAGGGTAATGTCATGAGGCTGGGTCCAGTCTCAAGGGAGGTCAGAAAAACTTTCTGAAGAAATTACTTTTAAATAATGAGCCAACCAGGAGGGAATCATATTATAAGCAGTAAAAAGAGCAAGTGCAGAGGCTCTCTGTCAATTGTCCCTTTGAGACTTGTCATCACTAATTTAAAGCAGGATTTCTTAACCTTGGCATTATTGACATTTGGAGTCAGATAATTCTTTGTTGTCCTGCACATTCTAGGATAGTTAGCAGCATTCCTGACATCTTTCAATTAGATGTAGTAGAACATTCCCTCACACCCTAGTGCCACAATTGAAAATGTCTCCAGACATTGCCAAATGTCCTAGGGAAAAGAGGAGCGAAATTTGATTTGTCCCAGTTAAGAACCATCAATTTATGACACCACTGAGCATCAGTTTTGTTTCTTTTTTCTTTTTTTTTCCTCTTTCTCTAGTAGCCTTGAAATAAATAGCTGGATTCAAGGACCCACATGAATTGGATTGGCAGAATATACCATGGTTGGGTTTTTCTAAAAAAAAAAAAGAGAGAGAAGAGAGTGATTATATATTAGATCATGATATGAATAGGGTAAGAAGAAGAATAAACACAAAAAAGGGTTGGTGGATAGTGAAAACTGTAGGGTCAATGTTTTAAAAGTCTCCATGAGGTGAAAGGAGTAGAGAAAACATTAGTAAATAAACTAGAAAACCAGGAGGTAGTCATGAGAGGTTGTTGGGTAAAATAACAAAATCATTTAGGGGCCTTAGGGGCCTAAGGAAGGGCTGAAGAGAAAGATCATTAGAGATAAGACTGAGAGGTTGAGAAGCTACAGTTAGATGGATTACCCAGAGGGGTTTGGTTTGGTTTGATTTGGTTTGGTTTTTGAAACAGGTCTCACTAGTTGTGCAGGCTGGCCTCAAACTTCTGGGCTCTAGCAAATCTCCTTGCCTCAGCCTCCCAAGTAGCCGGGACTGCAGGTGGATGCCATTTGCCCACCAACTCTCAGGGATTTTGAAGTCAACAACAATGATGATAGGAAAATAGGTGTAAAAAGGAAGATAATGAGCCAGGTGCTATAATTATCAGTGCACGTGGGTGAATGCCCAAACTCTTCAAGATAGAACTTGGAAGGAGCAGGAGATTTTGAAGAATGAAGGGAGAATAATGGTCTATCTGCAGCAGTCTCAGAGAGCAATACTCTCAACTCCAGATTCTGAGGTATGTGAAACAAGACCCAAACAAGCCTTTATAAAGAGGATTGTCAGGCAGCCAGGCACAGTGGTGCATGCTGGTAATCCTAGCTACTCAGGAGGCTGAGGCAGGAGGATCACAAGCCCAAGACCATCCCAGGGAACTTACTTAGTGAGACCCTATATCAAAATAATAAGTAAAGGGCTGGGGTTGTGCTCATTGGTAGAGCGCTCGCCTAGCATGCCTGAGGCACTGGGTTTGATCCTCAGCACCACATAAAAAAACAAAATAATGTGTCTACCTAAAACTAAAGATACATAAGTAAACATTTAAAATAATAATAATAATAAATAAAGGGGCCGGGGTTGTGGCTCAGTGGAAGAGCACTTGCCTGGCATGTGTGAGGCAGTAAGTTTGATCCTCAGCACCACATATAAATAAATAAAAAATAAAGGTACATCAACAACTAAAAAATATTTTTAAAATAATAATAATAAATAAAATTCAGGCATAGTGGTGCATGTCTATAATCCCAGCAATTCGGGAAGCTGAGGCAGAAGGACCTCAAGTTCAAAGCCAGCCTCACGGGGCTGGGGATGTGGCTCAAGCAGTAGCACACTCCCCTGGCATGTGTGCGGCCCAGGTTCGATCCTCAGCACCACATACAAACAAAGATGTTGTGTCTGCTGAAAACTAAAAAATAAATAAAAAATTTAAAAAAAAAGCCAGCCTCAGCAACTTAGCAAGATCCAGTCAAAAATTTATATAACATAAGGGGGCTGGGGATAAAAAAGAATGAAATTGGGGCTGGGGTTATAGCTCATTGGTAGAGTGCTTGCTTAGCCAGTGTGAAGCACTGGGTTCGATTCTCAGCGCCACGTATAAATAAATAAAAGTCCATTGGCAACTAAAAAATATATATTTATTTAAAAAAAGAATAAAATTATGGCATTTTCCAGGTAAATGGATGGAACTGGAATCTGTCATACTAAGTAACATAAGCCAAAACCAAAGGCCAAATACTCTTTCTGATATGTAGATGCTGACACACAATGGGGGAGGTGGATAGAAGTTCATTGAATTAGACAAAGGGGAAGGAAAGGTAGGGAGAAGGGATGGGAATAGGGAAGACAGTAGAATAAGTCAGACATAACTTTCCTACATTCACACTTGTATACAACACTAGTGTAACTCCACATCATGTATAACCACAAGAATGGGATCCTAATTAGAATAAGTTATACTCCATGTATGTATAATATATCAAAATATATTCTACTGTCTGTATATTTTAAAAAGCAGAGGGGCTGGGGATGTTGCTCAGTGGTTAAGCACCCCTGGATTCAATCTCAGATACCATGAAATAAAATAATATATTTTTAAATGGGGTTAGGGATATAGCTCAATGGTAGAGTATCC